TTTCTTTTTTCCTTCATGTTGTTGAATCAAATTTAGATGGTCATGTCTATACTAAAATTGAAATTAATAATTATTATTTTTTTATAAAATATTTTGTTATAATGTTTGATATAGTCTGATTCAAATTATTTTTCTTTGAATTCTATAGTTGTATTGTTTAACTTTAAAATTTTATATTTTAGGATTTTAATTTGATCACTTTAGGTGAAGGGAACTTTTTAAAATGATTAACATGAATTCAATTAGGGGAAAATATTTAGGTAGACCCTGTTTCTAAGTTTCATTTTTTATCTAATCCTATAGACCAACTTAATCCATTTTTACTCAATTTTTTAGTCCAAACAAATTTAAAAAAAGATCATGAGTTTCTCTCCTCTCTCCGAATTTCCTCAGCTCTATCTCTCTACCCTTGTCTCTCACTCTCTCTCCCCTGTGCTTTACAGTTTCTATGAAATTATATGGATAACAGAGCTGTAGCTCCGACAAAGCTTCAATAGATACGTTTCCCAAAAGACATCTTCTTCTTCGTGTTCACTTCCAGATAGCAAATTGGGTTACCGTGTATGAAATTGATCATTGATTAGAGCTTCATGGTCTTCCAATTTCTCATGATCCATTCTATGATTCATTCTTCCTCATGATCCATTTTATGATTCATTTTGAACCCGAAGTCCTTTAGCTTGAAGAATCCAAAACACATGATTCATTCTTCCATATGATCCATTTTATGATTCATTCTGAACCTGAGGTCCTTTAGCTTGAAGAATCCAAAACACATTGATATATTTAAGCAATGAATACGTTCATGGCTTTCAAACATCTGAGTACAAAATGCAAATAAAATTTCATGCTTCGAATTTTAGCTTGAAGCATCCAAAACACATTGATATATTTAAGCAATGAATACGTTCATGGCTTTCAAAATGCAAATAAAATTTCATGCTTCGAATTTTAGCTTGAAGCATCCAAAACACATTGATATATTTAAGCAATGAATACGTTCATGGCTTTCAAACATCTGAGTACAAATTGCAAATAAAATTTCATGCTTCGAATTTTAGCTTGAAGCATCCAAAACACATTGATATATTTAAGCAATGAATACGTTCATGGCTTTCAAAACTCTGAGTACATAATGCAAATAAAATTTCATGCTTAGACTTTTCTGTTCCGTTGTGAGAGCCTGTGAAAAAAATTGTTGAGAGTCCACATGTCCAGATCAATCTGAAACCTAATCTCAGAAAAGAAACAATAATTTAGAAATGTCTGATGTTTTTTGATATTATCTATGAGATGTCTGCATTTTTTTAATATCCTAATGTTCAGTGGCTTTCAAAAAATGTCTATACAGATAAAGGCATCACTCTATGTAGCTGAAAACCCTATTCTTTAGTAGATTTTGCAAATTGTGGTGAAGAATCTAGGGTTTTGAGGTTTTGTCAATTAAAAATATTTCCAGAGCGAAGAAGATCACAACTGAAACGAAAGAGCTGGTTCCAAATTGGCCCTTGAAGTTCTAGCATGAGTTTGTGTTTCATGCATCTTTCTAGGGTTTCTCTGGAACATAAATGGCAGTAATGTTGTGCCTCAACTATGAAGAAGCTTTAGTGGAGTTTTAGATGTCTTTCTATGGATACTTTGAAATTATATAGAGAACAGAGGTGGATCTGTGACAAGGCTTCAATGGAGGTCAGGAAATCGTTTTAGGGTTTCTCAGTAGCAAAAAAGGTCCAAGAAATTATCGAAAACTCCAAACAAACCACCCACAAGATGATGTACTTACGTGCATATTTTTTGTGAACGACACAATGTTGATCGATGAGACCGAAAACTATGTCAATACAAAATTAGAACTTTGGAGGAATATTCTAGAATCTAAAGGTTTTAAAATTAGCCGGATTAAAACAATATATAGAATGCAAGTTTAATAATAATAAGAGTAGAGACGAAGACTGAAGGCTAAAAAATATTAAACATAGCGCGCTTTCGATATCTTAGGTAAAAAAATTCATAAAAATAATGATATCGCTCATAGAAATAGAATTAGGTGGGAGAGGTGGAGATATGCAACTAGAGATTTATGTAATTGCCAAGACCAACTTTGTTTTATTTGGAGGAATGTTGGCAGATACAAGTAAAAATGAATACATTCAGGAGAACCTAAGTGTGGCTCTAATAGGTGATAAGATGAGATAAAATGCACTTAGATAGGCTGGTCATATGCAGTGCAGACCCAGTACAACACCTATTAGGATTTTGAGTTAGTTTAAGTGGAATACTAAAAAAAGACAAGGGGTATGCCCAAAAGGACATAGTTGGAAGTAGTGCAGAATGACGGACCAAGATTTAAGTAACCAACTCCACATAGTTGGAAAAAAGTTTTGATGATGATGATAATGATGAGGAATTTCCTATAAAGATGAGTATTTTTTTATTTTATTTTATAGAGACTGTTGAGCTAAAAAAAATCAATAGAGGTTAAAGTCCTTTATTTCTCTCTCTAGGATTTTTTTTTTTTTGTCCAAAAAAATTACAAAAGATTGAAGTCGATGTTCTCCAATAAAGGTTGAAAAAATAAGTGATTCTTTTGAAACGGTAAGGACGATAAAATTGATATGAGATAGGTAACAATGTGTTTTTTTGTTTTTTCTTGTCATTAAACCCTCATAATATGATTAATTACCCTCATAAAATTATTTAAATTATTTTTCTGCATAGAGGATTTCTTCTTTGGTGTCCCATGGTTTTTCTCATCTCTTGAAGGTTTTCCATGTAAATATTTGGTGTTTTTTGGTTCTAATTTCCTACAAATTTGTATTCTTTTATTTTTTTGAGGTTTGATAGTTTTTGTTTTATTCATATAGACATAAAGGCACAACTTCCCCACAAAACCACCGCCTCTTCTTCCTCCAAAATGACTACTATCTCTCCCATAAATCCATTATCGCCACCTCTTAGGCATAGCGTCATTCCTCATCGAAAATAGTTGAGAAGCATACCTCCAAATATAATCACAGTGATTCAAAATAAAAGCATTTAAGCATATCTCCAAATATAATCACAGAGAAAATCCAGTGATTCAAAATAAAAGCATTTAAGCCAATTTTAGTAGCCACAGAAAGTGTTGTGTGCATTGAGAATTAGAATTTAACATATTTAATTTGTTTGGGTGATTTTTAGGGTTTTAGGCTTGAGTATTAAGATGAGGCGCTCTTTTGGTTCGGGGAATATTTCTTTTGTGAATCATTCCAATTGGTTCGGGGAATATTTCAAAGAATAAGAAAGGGGTGAAGAAATGGAGGCGTTTGGCCTTTACACATGATGAGGAGTGACTGATTCTTTTTTATCTATTTAGGGTATATCTCTTTAGGGAGGGCATGATGAGGAGTGACTAACTCTTTTTTATCTCTTTAGGGAGGGATATGACCTATCACTACTCCTTTTAAGAGTGTTTAATTTTTATACGGTACTTAAGTACCATAAGTAAAAACTAATCCATGTTATATAGCATTTTAAGTAACCTAAGAGTTTAATTTTTTTACGGTATTTTAAATACAATAAAAAGTAACCCATGTTATATAAACTAACCCATGTTATATAGCATTTTAAGTAACCTAAAAATTAATCCATGTTATATCCTCAAAATCCTGGAAATCATTTTTTCTCTTTGTTTATATTTGTCTATTTCATCTCTCTAATTCCTTTTATGTTTATATTTCTTTTTTTCTCTAATTCTTTTTTATGTTTATCTCGTTTTTTTGTCTAATTCTTTTTAATATTTATCTCTTCTTTCTCTCTCTAATTTTTGTATCTCTTTTTTCACTTTCTTTCTCTCTCTACTTACTTCATCAAGTCAAATTCCTTTTATGTTTATATTTCTTTTTTCTCTATTTCTTTTTTATGTTTATCTCTTCTTTTTTTCTAATTCTTTTTAATATTTATCTTATCTTTCTTTTTTTAATTTTTTTTATCTCTTTTTTCATTTTCTTTCTCTCTGTACTTACTTCATCAAGTCAACAAACGTCTCTACTTATTTCATCAACTCAACAAAACAAACACGATTCCCTTTTTAATATTTATCTCTTATTTCTCTCTTTAATTTTTTTTTCTTCTTTCAATTTCTTTCTTTCTCTCTCTACTTACTTCATCAAGTCAACAAGCGTCTCTACTTACTTCATCAACTCAACAAAACAAACACGATTCCAACATGATACAAATCTTGACTCCGCCTAATTTTCAGAAATTCTTTGGAGATGGGGTTGAAGGGAAATTCTTTTTTATGTTTATCTTTTCTTTCTCTCTATTTTTTTTTTAATATTTATCTCTTCTTTCACGTTTTTTTTTCTCTCTATTTACTTCATCAACTCAACAAACTCATTCCAATACGATACAAATCTTGATTTCGTCTCTACTTACTTCATCAACTCAACAAACGCTATTCAAACATGATACAAATCTTGACTCCCGCCTAATTTTCACAAGAAATGGGGTTGAAGGAGTTTTTATTGGGATGTACAAATCTTGATTCCGTCTCTACTTACTTCATCAACTCAACAAACCCGATTCCAAAATGTTACTTCATCAACTCAACAAACATGTTACTTCATCAACTCAACAAATGCGATTCCAACATGATACAAATCTTGACTCAGCATAATTTTTACGGGAGATGGGTTAAAGGGAGTTTTTATGTATTTTGCAAGGGACGAAATAGATAGTATCACCCTGAAGGTACTCAAGATTTTTATGTGCCTGAAAAAAAAACGGTATCTCAAGAGAGTACTGGAACCATCCAATCTTTAGAAGAAATGATGAAGATGTTAAAGAATTCAAAATCTAATTTTTTTTGAAAAATAATAATCTATTTATGTTTAGATAGATACTAAAGTTTAAAATAAAAAAATTCCCATTACTTGTATACCCTAGGGAGTAGATGTATAGTATTGGTCACGAGAGAGCATATATACGCTCTCCTGCTCCATAAACTTGGGACTAAAAATGCCGGGAAATTTAAGGACGGTTCTTCTTTCGTGAGGTGCTCCTCAAGGGAGAGCGAGGCCATGGCTTCTCCGGGAAGAGCCCCCCCTGACGTACCGATGGAGCTTCACGCTCTAAACCGATCCAAGCTCCTCAAATCCCTTCGCCAGCGCCTCCAAACCCTAAATCATCCCCTCCATGGATTCGTCTTCCTCCAGGTAACTCTCTCTCTCTCTCTAACCCCAATTTAATTCCTCTCTTTTTCTAACCCGAAATCGGCCCTTTTCTTTCTCACTTGCCCCCTCTCACTAAACCCAAATTCAATCGTTCTCTCTCTAATTCAAATTCGATCCTTCTCTCCGTCGGCTTTCGGAACCAAATTAATCATTTTCTTCTCTTCTTCTCTCTCCAACCCAAATTCGATACTTCTCTCTCTCTCACCGAAATTCTCTCCTTCTGTAACGCAAATTTTTAATCTTCAACTGTTGGACTCTGAGCTAAATCCATTTGTTTTGTTGGTTCTTCTTCTTCCAGTCAGTTCTTTTTCTCTCTCTCACACACAGACATACAAACATTTAAATGCATCATTTTGATGGGTTTGTGTTCATCTGATAACTATCCTTTCCTTGCCCCCTCTATCACTTTTTATTTGTGATTACTAGTGAGATTCCCATTAAAGGCTACATGGATCCATTACAAATATCTTTATCCGAAACTTCTGAATCTGAAAAACATCACTCCTGTTTGATGGTTAGGGAGGGGAGGAGCAGACTCGCTATTGCACTGATCACACCATCCTCTTCAGGTGTGTAATCCCTGCTTTCTTTCAGTTTTCTTTCCTTAGTTTCCAAAGTTATTTTGATGGTGTCATATATTTAATACTTAATTATCAGTTGTTTTTTGATGATCATATAAATTCCTTTGTGAAAATGGAGAAAATGCAATGCTGACATAGTGTTCGCACTTAGCCATGACTGCGACGAAGCGCACACAGCCAACCGGCTCTAATATAGGGGTTTATTAGTTTTTTATTATTTGATATTTGTTTTTCGTTTTCTAGTAGATCTTTAAATACGTAAAGGAAAATGGGAAAAAAAATGCAATGATGATGCGCTGTTACTCATGGCTTCAAAAATGCCCAGTATCTTGCATACGCTAATTGCACTTATAACTCCCAACATTAGCGAACCCTGTATCATTGAGTTGGCATTCATCAAAACATGACCTTTATCACCTAACCTAACTAATTCAAACTCAAATGATGATATCAACCCTGCTTTCCATGGATACCATGTCAGGTTTCTGAACAATAAACTTTAGGAGAACCATCATCATTGGTACAATATGTGGTGAATGCTTCAACAAAGATTTGAACTACATGTGCAATACCCAAGCTTTTGCCCCATTTGACACATGTTTCATGCCAAAAGGACCCACATTGCATCTTGCGACTTGGTGTTTTTGTAGGGGATCTGTCTTTGAAAATTTGATGCTCTGTGATTGTACATGGATTTGCCATCAACGTTAAGCTGGTGGAATTCATTAGGCAGGGAAAGTCACTGTCAAAGGCTTGGTCATTTCTCAGATGCCTTCAATTGTTTCCACAGCTGAGCCACCTGAATTAGATATTGTAACAGATTCAAGACATTTTGTTAATTCATCGTATTGATTATGTCCTCCCCCTTGATGATATTATTCCTCTATCTTTGACACTACTCACCAAAACTAGTTAATTTGTTCCTCTTCGTTACATGGTATTTAGATGGCCATAATATTATTGCCTCCTCATAGAAGGGGTCCTCTAAACTTGTACATAATTTCCCAAGAAATCTGGTATCCTTGGTCCTTTTAACGAAGGAGTTAAGAGTGCTTCCCTGTATTTCCCATGTGAATGCACCATGTATGACAATGTGGTTCACTAAATCAACACATCTCTTCAATAGTATCATATTTTTCTTGTGTATCAATCTCTGCATTGAAGTCTATGAAACTTACTGAAGGAAGGCATTTACTATGAATATTACTAGTTTGTCACTTTTATGCTAACCAAAGAAAGAACTTTACTATGGGTCCCTATACCAAACCTAGAAATTGGAAATTTCTAATTCCCGCATCTTTAATATCTCATTTATAGGTTTCATTATCTATGCTACCCTCTTTTATCACATACTCTCTAGTTCCAAATGGATTCGGCAACTCTAATAGTTGCTTCTTCCTCTAGACATTAGGGGTCCAGTTTCTTTCTTATTCTCATGACAACCCTAATAAAGAGAATCTGGGAGTAGCTTTCCATTGAATTCAAGTTTATGGCAAAGCCCAACTGCTAAATTTCCTTATTGTCCTGAAGTCTTTGTCTGACCATGGAGAGGAGCCTTGGGTTCTATACATGGATATAACTTCTCCAAAGCCACCCAGATTGTGCAGCCTCATAGTCCACTGATAACGTTAGAGAATAATCTCCTATTTTTCTGTACGCTTTCATATCTTCAATGCATGGCTTGTAACAATGACAGAGTTGGTAGTCTCGCACAGTTTTCATGGATGCCTTTTAGTGATGGATATGTTTTATGAATGATGGCCTTGGTTAATACCACTTGCTACATGTTGGTAACTTAGAATTTGTAATGGTTCTCTGGGAAACATGATAAGATGATGGTGCGAAATATCAACATGCGATGTATGTTTATGATAGATCAATATGTGATTTTACCTAACAGTATCTGCAATCCCTTTAAATTTTCTGTTTTTGATTTTTCCATCCAAGTTCTTAGGTTTCAAATTTATTATTTGTTGTTAGCAAAACATGGGCATTAAGTTGTGTAAAATCTTCATGATTATAAGAATGAATTTTCAGCAGGGCTTCCAATTTTTGCTCTTTTGGAAAGACATCATTTAACTGCAGTATTCCTGTTTCTGTTGGGCTTATGATGCCGTTCAAATACATTGTTCTCATTCTAAATTTATATGTGACATGATATGTTCTGTTCCTTTTAGTTTAAAGAATGGAAATTTCATGTACTGATACAATGCTCTTCATATGTTGCAGGCAAGAAAGTTACTTTGCATATTTATTTGGAGTGAGAGAACCAGGATTCTATGGGGCTATTGTAAGTTTGTAGCTTGACATTTTTGTTGAAGGCTTCCTCTATTTCATACAATTACGGAATGTTGTTTCCTCATATCTGCTGTGGTGTGATAATGATCAAATTTATATGATTATTCGTTTAAACACATTTTACTTATAAAAGACACAGAGCATTTTATTATACTTTTGTTAATGATTCTTGTTTTAATTGTTTGGCTGTCAAATTCTTGTACTGAAATTCATCTTATCTGGAGCAAGTCCTCTAGTGATTGACCAAAGACTTGTTGCATCACTGCAATGTTGTGCATTGTTTTCCATGTTTTGGACATTTGTAATCTTCAAAGTTACTGGCATATACCTCATAGCAAGTGTCAGCACTTATGAAATGATTTTGGTGAATGTATGAAAATTGCGGTATTGCATTAAATGTCACTCTGGTTATTCTCACTCTTGCATGTTTCAGTTGCTAGTTGCTCGTCTTCCTGGATGAACTTTCTGTCATGTCCTATTTCACACTGTTTTGACTCTGGAATCAGGACTTCCATTGGTCGTTGGACATGAATAAAACTGAGTTGTTGGATGAACTTTTGGTCATGTCCTATTTCACACTATTTGACTTTGGCATCAGGACTTTTTATATTAGGAGTTCCATTGGTTGTTGGACGTGAATAAAAATGAGTTGTTTGGAGCATTTCTATGTCCAAATTGCAAGCTAGGTAGTATTGATGGTTGGCATACATTGATGTGAAGCCATTGTAGTGGTTTTAATGAAGTTAATATACTCCAGTTTTTTCATAAAAATGTTCATGTACTGTTGTCATTAGTTGACTTTCTATTGAAATATGTTCTCAAGCATATTGATGTTTTACTTGTCTAAACATGTACATAAGTTGATGCGTCTGTGTTGATTTTAATCAAAATTCTCTCAACTTTTACACATGATGTAACGAGCACATATTGTGGCTAGTGTTTCTTTTTATCTTATGAGAATTCTATTTAGGAAGTTATTATTATTATTATTTTTTTGGGGGTTCTTGATGCCTTATGTGTATTAATACAATTTTTGGGTTCAACTAATATCAGTAATGCTGGTATAACTCATATGTTGTTTGATTTTCCGCGAAGTACTTGTCTCTCTCATGACTTCTGTGTTTATGTCAGTGCGCACGCTACGTGTGTGTGGGTAGATAGACAGGCATGAACAAAACAGAGATCCACATTTACATGCATGCATACTTACATTCATACATACACACACACACACATGTATATATACAACAAATACATATATACATAACATGTATACATACATTCACACAGGAAGACATAGAGAAATTTACATATTCCATTTAATTATACCGTCTGTCAATATTTTTTAGCTTTGACAATGACTATGTTTTCTTTTGAAAGGATATCTGTTCAGGTAAATCAATTCTTTTTGCTCCTAGGCTGCCTGCAGATTATGCAGTTTGGTTGGGTCCTATAAAGCCATTGTCCTACTACAAGGTGATTACTTATCTCTGTAAATTCTCGAATTCTGCCAGTCTATATTTGTCCCTAATTATGTTTTCTTGACCTAACCTAGTGGACATCTGATACTTCGCAGGAAAGATACATGGTTGATGTGGTTTCTTTTACAGACACGATTGTTCCAGTGCTATTTGATCATTACAAGGGCTCGGGAAAACCTCTGTTGTTTCTTTTACATGGGTTAAACACTGATAGCCATAAATACTCAAAGCCTGCTGAGCTTGAGGTATGTTAATTCCATTTGTATCAAAGATGAATGGTCCTTACCCTTCTTTTCTTGAGATATTCGGCTGGTGAGCTTTATTGCTCATCCTTTCACTTTATGAGCTGTGAGTTGCAAGAAATAAATCGTAGAATGCCTTGAGAATGCTCATTTTATATGCCATTTGGTTTATTTGGTTCTGTATTTTGTCCTGGATATCCAACTAGTGAATAAGCCAGAGGGGTATGGCTTTTGACCAAACATTTTAGGTATGATGTATATGTGTTCTTGAATCTTACTATAATTAGGACATGGTACTGTCTTACACTTTCATTACTGTACTTGATTTAGATTATTATGCTAAATTGATTCTAATCAGAGCAATTTCTGACCTAGAATTCCTTGTTCCAGAGATCTTGTAACACTCGATTATGTGCCTTAACTCAATTCCTTAGTTTCAAGAAGCTATTATTGACCGTAGCTTTCCATCGCATAATTAGTGTCCTTTGCTACTCCTAGATGATTCCAAATGGAAAACTCTCTCCTCATTCTTATGACTATATAGCCATTCTCCAAGAATTTCTTGCTACTTAGCATATGTCATCCCTAATGACATTCTTTGCCAAAATTTGCTATTTGGCTGATCCACTTCGACCTTGCTCTTTATTTGTTTACAGTGCAGTAAAGATATGCTTTGTGACCAATATGTTTGTTGTATGGTTTTCGGTTAGTGTTTATGTTGTTTTATTTTTGCTATCACTTTCCTATGGACAACACCCAGCCCTGCTATATGAAGGCACCTGTGCTTCATTGATTTTGATTCCTTCATAGTGAGAGCATAGTGACTTACTCTGCCATGGCAGGTCCCAAGCCGGTCATGGTGGTCCCAAACCTGGATAATGGAGGAGGGTTGTGTTAGGTAGGGCAGCCAGCATAAAAATTTTGCACATCTTTTCTTGAATCCCGAACCTATGTTATTAGCCGACCCCAAATAGTTGGGATAAGGCTTGGATGATGATGATGATGATAGTGAGAGCATATTGACTGTAGGAATGTTGTAACTTTGTGGTCACCCTTGACCTTCGAATGCGGCATTCACTTTGGATGCTCTTTAACAGCTCATGGCCAGGGCCAATCTACAACAACCCAAATCCCTAGACCTAAATACCCTTTTCCTTAGAAGTGCAGGAAAGAAGAATTTTCATTCTCAGACTAGTATTCGAGTTGAGATGATTGGGGTCATGAAGAAGCTTGTAGCTGCTCAAACTTGTAGATGAGCTGCGATTATATGAATTTAAAAATGGTACACCATTTTTAAGGACAGCCGAACCCTCAAGGACTACGAGAGTCATTATGGGAAGGCCATGAACTCTTCTTCAACAGTATTGGTGTTATTTTCTTGCTATTTGTCTCTCATAATTAAAATATGCTCTCTAGTCTAAGAAGGGTGAAGCCTTTAAACTTTCCTTTAACCCATCCCAAGCCCAGTAAAGGAGGTGGGTTGTGTTAGGTTAGGCAGTCAACGTAAAATTTTGTTAAAGCTAAAACTTTCTATGAATCCTGAATCTACAGATCAGAATGGCGGACTAAGATTTGTGTGGATGATTGCGAATAGTTGGGAAAACGCTCTGATGATGATGACGCATTAAAATACGCTCTCATTGGTTGGGCCTTTTTATTTCATGTTGGTCTGCAACTGCAAGTGAATATTCTTGCTGGTTTTCCCAAGAGAAGGCTTGGCTTCTTCAGGTGGTTCACTGTATTCTTTCGCTTCTTTGCCAATTATCTCTACAAGTCTTTCTTCTATATATTCAGGCTCTACTTCTTGCTGATGCCAATCAGACTCAGTGTTTTCAATTTCATTTCCTTGTGGGGTTTTAATGAATTTGGGATAAAATGGAGTTTTAGAGAGAGAAAAGGTGGTTTCTAAATGTAGAGGGAAAAAGTTCAGTTGTGGTGAATGAGGGGAGTTTGGGAGAGAGAGAGAGAGAGAGATGGAGCAGAAATGGGGCTTGTAGATTGTTGACATAGTAAGATTTTTGGGGAGGGAGGGACCCCCTGTGTTGTTTTTTGGTTGGGTGGCGCGGGGGGGGGGGGAAGCTAGAAACAGAAAGAAGAAAATGAAGAAGAAGAAGAAGAAGAAAAAGAAGATCATGATGATGATGATGATGATGACGATGAGGAGGAATGGATAAAAGCTTGTTGGTCAAACACTCTGTAATTTGTTGTAATGGTTGGGGTTTTTCTTGTTCAGGGAGGTGAGTTTCTTGGGCGGCCATGGTTGCAGAGGAGGACATGATTCTATAGAGAGATGGTTTCTTGAGGGTTAATTATATTTCTGATAGATGTGTGAGTTTGCAAGTTATAGAAAATTTGATAGGGACCTATTTTTAATTGATTTGTGGTTTTGTCTCTTATTTGCTATGGCGGTCATATCATGTGGGCATACACACATGCCACAAATCTAGTTTATTTGCATCCAATTTTATGAATGGACTAATACCCAAAGCACCTTCAGACTATGGTTTGAAGTGGAATCTAGACAGCCAGTGAAATTCATGCCCAAGTAAAGGTTTGCAGAATTTTTTTGGATGGGGGAAGTAAACATGAGTATCAATTTTAGCAGGAAACCTGAAGGACAAGAGTGCCCCTAATGTATGGTTCAACAGAGTTATCACAATTTTATAGACCTTATGAATTGTAACTTGTGTCTAGTTTCAAAGAAAGGCAACAAGAGAGGGCAAGGAGAGAGAAAGATGAAGTTGGGATGTGATGCAAAGGATAGTTGCTTAGCAGTTCTATTGATGAACGAGGTCACAAAAAATTCATTAAACATCTTTATCATAAAATAATTAAACTTCCTTGGGGTTAGTTCATTGGGTGTTGTCCAACTCCCAAAGGACTTCTATCCCTTGAAGAGAATAAGGTCACAAAAAATACAATAAGTTTTTTGCATTGGTTTCAGTGCACCTTCAATGGGGGAGTTGAGAGAGTTTATTCTTGACAATGTTGTTGAGAGGGAAATAGATCACAATTCTCCCCAAGGAATTTGAAGAGAATAAGAGTCTATAAAAGTCCCCAATGATTGTATCGTTTCACCAGCTGACAAGAGAGCGTGGGGGGGGGGGGGGGGGATGGGGTTGGGAGGTGTGGGGTGGGGAGAGAGATCGCTGAGGACACAAAGCTCCATTCGTGCCCAAGGACTTATTAGGTATTATATCACCATATTGATTTTTTAGTATTACTACATTTCTGAAATCGTACTCTATTGATACCAAAAAGTCCAAGAGATTTTGATGTCATGATTCTTGTTTACATTGATACTTAGGTTTCTTAACTCGGAAAAAGTTAAAAATACTGTCAAAATGGAAAAAGTTAAAAATTCTGTAAAATGAAACTCGCTCCTGCCTTACACTGTAATAGTTGAACTTCGGGGTGATCCCATTTCGTATGGGTTCCACTTCTTTTCAAATATGGAACTCGATATCTTAAAGTCAGGGATCTCGCATCCTACATTTGTTCATGTACGAAACTTGTTCCCTTGACCACGGAACTTCGTGGCTTCCTCTCTCCGTGCTTCCGTTCTTAACCCAGAGCTTTTTTCACTTCTGCCCCGGGTAACTATGAGTTGTTATGAGTAACTGCTAAAAATATAACGACCTTTTTCTTGTTCTTGGATATGATAATTTTCTGTCTAATATATATTTTTCTTAGTCAGATTGGATACAATGTGGAACTCTTGGTTCTGCACTCTATTTTATCTCCACCTGAAAATAACTTTTCTTTGGTTGTCCATAAAAACTCCTTATTAGTCTTTCTTCTTTGTCTTCTTACAAGAGGTAAGCATGCTTTTACATTCTTTTGTCTCTTCTGATGAAAATAATCCCTCATTATTATGGAGTAGTATCTCTCTGATAGTTATCCTAAATTTAAATGCTTGTGACCTACCATTTTAGCTGGTTATCGATACATTTGCAAGGATTTGGTTTGTTTTCTCATGGATTGACTTTTTCTTTTTATGTTGCAGGAAATGGACAAATTTCAGACTGATTTAAATATACTACATCCTATATTGGCTGAGTGTCGCATTTTTAAGACTGAATTGGAGCTCTCCCTCATACAATACGCCAACGATATCAGCTCAGCTGCTCATATTGAGGTGACCATTTCCTAAAGTTCTATGGTTTCTGGAGATGTTTTCTCTGGGACTTTAATGTCTTACCGATTTCATGGATCAGTCAAATCTATTAGTTTCTTAGGTTTTATTACAGCATAGACTTTGAGGTGGATGGAGTGCATACGAGAAGCCATGATAACAGTCATTTCTTCTTAACACGGCCTTTGCGTTACTTCTTAGTGACTTACTTGACTATTGCTACAGTGCTCAGAATGAGTATCTTGCATGAGAACTCGGCTGGTTTCTATAATATAGGTTCCAAGGAAACATGATGTTTTGCCCTTTCCTCTTGGCTTTGTGCTATATGTTTTCTCTAGGAGTGACTATGCACGTCACCATTTATGTGCTATAGAGGATGATGCCTGGTGGAGAATATGTCAATCTGTTGTATGATTGCAGGTGTTTATTCCATACTCATGTTAGTATTAAATGATCCATAGCTTCCTTGAAACAGTCACAATAATGTATGTGGTCTCGAGAAAATTCAGTGGAAAAATCTTCAAATGTTTTATGTTAGATATTTATAGGGAAATATTTGTTCTACCTATGAACTTCTTACATGTCACAAATCTCCATTTTTTATCAGTACATAGGGGACCAGTCTGTTCTTAGCGTTTGCTTCTTGTTGTAAGTTGACTGCTATAATTGCTTTTCTTTTCTGGGTTTGTTTCTTAAATAACAATCGTGTTTTCTTAGAAAGAGAAAAGTTGCTTACCATGTGCATGGTAACATTACATTGGTATTACTCAACAACTACCCTCCCTCCCCAAACACACATAAACTTCTTGCTCTTTAATAGCAAAAATTGGTTACAAAATACAAAACAATTGTGGGAGGAAACTAAATTATTTAATTGCTGGGGGGAGTGTCTTGTCTGGTTATTTTAGGTAAGTAATCCATTGGAAGGTAGTCTTTTGTTTTGATTTTCATACCTACTTCAAGGATGGAAATTCCTTGGTGAACTTTCAGAACTTGCGGCCTTTGCACTCCCATGTACTTCTGACAACTTTTTCCTGTTTGTATCTTGCTGATTCTTGTTCAAAACCTGATCTTAACTTAGGAATTTGGCCTAGCTTAGACCCATGTCAACTCCTTGAGTCCTCAGTCCAAAGACGACCTGTCAAGTCTGTAGCATGTTTAACAGACATACAGGAAAATCCATAACCAGTTCTGCAATCTTATGCCAATAAAAAATATAGAATATAAAAATTCATACACAAAAGGAAAAACGAAAAAAAATTATGAGAGCATCTTTTTCTATAAATCTTTTGGAACATGCAAGGGAAAATTTTGTCGGAAAAGTTGTCAGCAAGCAAACCCTGAATGTTTTCTTTCTATTTTAAAAAATCTGTGTTTTTAATTTTTTTTTTTTTTTTCAACTGTTGTGGTGTGGAAGAAGGGAAGTTGAGTGTCTGGAAAATATTGCCTAAAGGACCATCCCCTCCCCGCAATACGGACTCTATCAAACATGCCCTACACTCAAAATCTGCAAAAACTGAAGAGAAATATTGTCTTTGGCAGTTCCTCCTGAGCAAATATGTTTTCTTACTGTGCAAGTCCTGAAGCCCATCTAAGATTCAGGCCTCACATGTATCGTATGAATAAATTGACCAGTTCTTTAGTAGACCCAGTTGTTTTTTTCCCAGTCCTTTTGTTTGAAAACTTTTGGGTGGGTAGCGTGCTCCTCACCTTGGACTGATATTTGATCACCTGCTTTTCAATTGGACTTTTACAATTTTATGGGTCCTTACATTTAGGAATAGTTTATTGTGCATAGGCAGATTTAGGAATCCACCTTTGGTTTTCAATGGGTTGAGGATCTGAAACTCACATACCACTGCCAATGCATTTTGCCTTGTATCCACACATTTGCAGCTCCAATGATAGTGCAGATCTAATGATGAGCGAAGAGTTAAAATGAAGGTCCTAAAACAGTTTAAAAAGGGCCTTTTTAGAATGAAGGATTTTTATTATTTTTTCAGATTCATGATGGTCTTATTCAAAATTATTTGAATAGATGCATCAGCCGACACACTAAAACCCTAAACTTACATTTATTGTCTAATGAATAGTCAAAACTTGAAGAGAGGACATATGAAGTACACTGCCAAAAAAAAGAAAGAGGGAAAAAAAAAAATCGAAGAACTTTGCTATCAAAAGTTACCCCAGCTATAGCCTGAGATGAGGGAACCTATGTTGCCGTACATCTATATTCTTCAGGTTGTAGAGATCAACGGAGCATTTAGGAAAAGGCAAGGTGCTTGCCTACTACCTTATGTCTGACATCTAGACAATTTCCTTAAGAAATAAACCTATAATCTGAGGGTTTTGATTTTGGAAAATGCACGAGTTGTATCCATGTTCCCCAAATCTGTATCGGTTTTCGTATACATATCTAGGCTTCCTAGTTGATACTGTACCGTAGTCGATGCCTTTTTAAGTGCCAAATCTATGTTCTTTGCAGTGGAGGGGCTCGTTCACATGGATCTAATGCTTTACAAACCTTATGTCACTCTGCAATCTGGCAAAGTTAAATCAGGTAACTGAAAAAGTGGTTTCTTAAATTTTAACATTAACTAAGATAACCCTTCACACTCGTAAATTGGGTAGAGAAAGGGCTAAACTTCAAGATACTGGGAGCTGACCAAACTCCAGCTTGTTATGCTTTGTGTAAAAGATCGGGACTGGCTGGCTCACCTATCCCACTAAACATGCCTTTTTGCTCCCAACCCAGCAAGCAAACCACATAATGTATCCAATACTTGCCTCAAATGTGTAAACCTAGTTCCCATATTTCCTACTTCTGAGCCATCTAAGAGTAGGGTTGCGGAAGATGCCTTAAGTTTACAGCTAATTTCATCAAAAGTAGTTCTTGGGAATGAGTAACCCCTATAATGATGCAACTTCTCGCTCAGTGGGTCTGCAGGATTCCCTGACCAACATAATGAAGGACCACATTTGTCTCTCATCCCTAAACAACACATGCAAATTTTATAATGCCTAGGGCAATTCTTAATCCTGACTTATAGAAGTTTATTTTCCAATCCATGTTGGTGGCAAAAATATGTTTTCTTTTTTCCTATTTTATGGTTTCTTATGTTTGCAGTTCTGAGCGCTGGAGGTTTTGATATTAAGTTCACTATGTATGTTGTCTGTCTGATGCCTATGTGACTACACTATGGATTGTAAAGCATGAAGCACAAATTATGCTGTCTTAGTTCTTATCTTCAAATAATCAGGCCGATCTAGAAATAACAGGTGTCTGTTGCATGAGACACTGATGTTCCCCTGCATTTCTAGAAGTTACTGTTTGTCTGCTGATTCGATTGTCTGGTTGGCGATGTTTCTTCATCCCTCAATAGAGATAATTTGGCAGTGCCTGAGCTGTTTCAAATAATCAGGCAGATCTAGAAATAACAGGTGTCTGTTGCATGAGACACTGTTGTTCCCCTACATTTCTAGAAGTTACCGTTTGTCTGCTGATTCAATTGTTTGGTTGGTGATGTTTCTTCATCTCTCAGTAGAGATTATTTGGCAGTGCCTGACCTGTTTTGGTTTAGTTAGTTTCATTCACTCCCTTCAGTTCATTTGTTTCCATGGTAAGAAAAAGTTTGCCTTCTTCATTTTTTTTTCATTATTTCTTTCTCTGGCAATAATAATCTAAGTCATACCATTTCAATTTTTTGTTTTGGGTAGAGAGTAAATGATTATTTTGTTTATTTCGGGAGTTACATTTGAAAGGTTATGTGATAGATAGTATATCTGTAATTGAGCAGGTGATGAGGCGAATAAAAGCAGGCATGAAGGAGTATCAATTGGAAAGCATATTCCTTCATTACATCTATATGTATGGTGGTTGTCGACATTGCTCATACACATGTATATGTGCAACTGGTGAGAATAGGTCAGACATTTCCCTGCACTGGGTACATATTTGGTATTCATGTTTAGAAACATTAGCATGTTATTAAGAGATCTTCGTCATGTATCCCATGTCATCAAAATCAGCAAGATTCTTTGCATGTTTGTGATGGATTACCTTGATTGGTGTCATCAATCTTCTATTGTTCAAAAAAAACATAGATGAAGAGAGAAGTTCTACATGGTTATGGAACTGTGCTGTGTGCTAATTGTAGTAAAGAAGATGCATTGTTAACTTGATGGATGACATGACAATTCTTGGACTTATTTCGTTGAATTATAATTGATGTATTTGCTTCTTTAGCAATGGAATCATTCATAGTATCTTTCTTGAGCATTTTTTTCTTCTGAAGCTTTAGTTTCTTGAGCAATTAGGAGCGGAGCCTGGTTCTTTTCATTCTCAAGTGTAACATGTTCTACATTTGTGACAGCATTTATCTTTGTTAGTTGTAAATTGTACCAATACTACTTTCATAATGTTCCCTTGTTATTGCACATGTATCTTGTTTTATGTATTCTATGAATGTTATAGGAACCCAGATGCTCTTTTGTCTAGGATTTTGCTGTTGCTCCTAAATAGTATTTCAATTAATTTAGCATTTTCAAGAATCTTTGGACCTCGGAAATTGGCAAATCAATTTTGCTTCGAGCCCAAATTGTGAACTGGATTAGAGTATGAGATTTCCAACTCTTATTTGTATCATGTGTTATGTGCACCATTTTGCACCTTCTTCAAAACCTTGCATTACATGATTTCAAAGATACATTTCTTAGCATCTGAATTCAATGAATAAACATTGATGAGTTGTCATGGTCCTCCCTTGAGTATCATCATCATCATCTGAGCCTTACCTTAACTATTTATGGCCGGTCATATAAATCTTGTTCTGCCACTTAGCTCTATCAAGGGCCGTACTTTCAGTCAGACTATAAGCCACCATATCTTTTCTCACTACTTACATCGATATCCTTTGGGGCTTTCCTCTTGCCCTTTTAAAGCCTTCCACTTCAACCAAATCATCCTTCCTAATTGGTTTTGTTAAACAACACTGCACATGAGTAGACCACGTAAGTTTTCTTTCCCTCATTTTATCGCCTATTGGAGCTACTCCTAAGTTCGAATGTATAGTTCCAAATTCTATTATTCCTTGTCTTGCCACACATCCATCTCAATATCCTCATCTGAGCTACACTCATTCTATATATATATTGTTCTTGATTTCCCAACATTCCATCCCATAAAATATGGTTGGTCTTACAACCGTCTTATGGAACTTCCCCTTCATTTTTATTGATATACGACGATCACATAAGACTCCAGAAGCACATCTTCATTTTGTCCACCCAACTCAATTCTATGAGCAACATTTGCCACAGTCCCTCCTTTCTCATGAATTGTTGAAGATATCGAAAATAATCTCTTTTAGGTACTTCTTGGCCATCAACCTTAATTAATTCCTCATTTCTACTTGTATTCTTACTAAACTTGCATTCGATATATATTGTCTTAGTCTGGCTAATTTTAGTAACTTCATATTGTAAAGCATCCCTCCAAAGTACTAACTTCATGGTTACGCCATCTTTAATCTTATCAATCAAAACTGTCATCCGTAAATAACATACACCGCAGGACCTCATCTTGTGGATGCCTAGTTAACTCATCCACAATCAAAACAAAGAGATATGGGCTCAATACACTTCTAAACCTCTATCGGTATACCATCTGGTCCTAAAGCCTTTCCTGTCTTCATCTTTCTCAAAGCTTCCTTCACTCCAAATATCCTAATTCTAAGAAACTATCTATGACCTCCAATCTCATATGTCAATGATTTTTCCTAATAGTGAGCTTCCAGAGTGGGTATTTAACAATTTCTGAGAATATATTTTTCAACTTTTATTGACCTCGTCATCCTTCATCAACACCCTTTGATCCTCATTCTTAATGCATTTAACATTTTCTAGATCTGTTCACTTCATTTTTTTACCTTCTCTTGTTCCCAATTTATTGTAGATCATCATATGCCTTAGGCTTAGCTTTACTATTTTCTTAGCATTCATCTTGGCATATCCATATTCTTCTAAATTCTGATCATTTCTATTGCTTGGCAAGCTTTGTAACATGATTTTTTTTGCTATAGCATTTTGAACCTCATCATTGCACTACCTAGTTTCTTTATCTGAAAGTATTTTCCCTTTAGATTCTCCTAAAACTTCTTTTGCCACATTCTTAATACAATTAACAATCTCATTCCACGTAACATTAAATTCGTCCCCAGAATTCCATTGTTTTTCTTTCATCAATTTATTCCTAAATAAGTCTATCTCCTCCCTTTTTAAGTTCCACCACTTAGTTCTTGGATACCCATTATTCCTTCTCTTTCATCTCTTAATGGAACCATGCATAACTATGAGCCTATGTTGTATTGTCAAACTCTCTCTTGGGATAACCTTACTGTCTTTATATGATGATGGTTTTGTCTTCTTAATTAGAAAACAATCTATCTGATTTTTATGTGATCCATTTTTGTAAGTTATTCAATGTTCATCTTGCTTTTTAAAGTAGGTGTTTGCTATTGTTAGATTGCATTTCAGTATTAAAAAAAAGAAAGAAAAAGAAACTAGGTCACCTTATTTGGGTTTTTTGGGACAAACTTGAAGGGATTGAACCTTTGACCTCCCTCACCAAACCAATATTACCACTAAGCTAAAGCCTAAGGGATGGAAAGGGGGGAAAGAAAGGAAAAGAAAAAAAGAAAAGAAAAGAAAAGAAAAGAAAAGAAAAGAAAAGAAAGAGACTAAGTGAGCTTCTTTGGTTATTTTTTTTTGGGACAAAAATCAAGGTTTCAAATCCTTGAGCTCCCTTACCCAAACGGGTATATGTCTACCACTAAGCCAAAGCCTAAGGGAAAAAAAAAGGCTAGTTGAACTTGTTTGGGTTTTTTGGGAGTTGGGACAAACTTAAGGTTTAAACTCTCAAATTGATATGCCTACCGCAAAAGCCTAAGGGTCATCCCTTCAGTATCTATGTTGTATGCTTCATGTCTAAATCCAGTTCTCCCTTCTGCTTTATTTTTTATTTTCATAACTTTGCCATGAATTTAAACGAGTTCTTTTTTCTTTAAATTCCTGCATTTCTCCCATTTCTATATTTATGGAACAAATCTTTATTCAACTCTCCTTTGACATTGTACAGTTCTGTTCTTCATTATGGACATGCTGCGGCACCAAATGACCGGGTATGGGTGAATTCTTTCCCTGTCATTCTTTCTCTTGTCTATTGTTCTTTTAGCCATCTAATATTTGAATGTAAAATTCCCCTAAATAATCTTCATATCATTGAAAGAAGTTGTTCTGATTTGAGCCTTACTTATTATGAATTTGAATTCAAAACTTTTGCATTAAGACCATCTACGGGTAGTAGGCTAGTCTATCGTTAACCATGTTTTATTCAACTTTTAATTTACTTTATGTTTGATGATTTAGTTCAAAGCACAACAATTAAGCAGTCTTGAATTTATTCTAGGATATAGGTAAGGATATTTTTCACGGTGGACTCTTGCATTCTTGGATCTGTCCAGTTCAACTGCTTTTGTACTAACAGTGCCATTGCATAAAATAACCCATTTAATTTGTGGTGTTCATGAATTTGACTTATACTTTTAGTTCCCTCCATTTTTTTATCAAATTAAATTTTTTTATTGCCTTTGATAGTGGTATATGTAGATTAGAGAAATAGTAGGAAGCTAGTGACAGGAGACTGCTGACTGATGTTCCGAGCTCAAGTGTATCCGGAACTTAAAAGTCTATGGCGTGGAACCATATCCAAAACGGAGACCAAGATGTCTCATTGGGGTGGTCACTAACTCTTCAATGTCAATACTTTATAGTGACTTCAGATCTATAATTAGAGAAATAGTTTAGGAAGCTAGTGACGGGACTGCTGACTGATGTTCCGAGCTCAAGTGTATCAGGACCTTACAAGTCTATGGCGCACAACCATCCAAAGAAGAGACCAAAATCTCTCATTGGGGTGGTCACTAACTCTCCAGTGTCAATACTTTATTGTGACTTCAGATCTATAAAGTATAAACTGGTGTAACACTCTTGAGTTTCAAGGTGTTTCCACTTCCTGAGCATATCTATAATGTGAAGCAATGTATTTCTTATTGACCCTTTCCCTTTTTGTTTTAGGTGGGTGGATGATTGCTCACTCTTAAAACTCCCACCAATAGTCTTTGCTAATATCTGTGCATCTTACTGTGGGGTTTCATGTACTTAATGGCTCTTGTCGTTTGAAGAACAAGTATTCAATTTCTTTGGATTTTATGCATCTCTATCTCTGGTTTTGGGTCCTGTCATAGAAAACAAATTACCCTACCTCTGTCGTTATGCACAATCCTGGAAACTCTAGTCTTAAGCTGTCATAATCATATTACAGAAGTACATTTATTCTGGGAATCGAGGAAAAACAATTTTTTCCTCTTGTAGTGTTACCAGAATTTCAACAGCATTTTGAGAACAAGTGGGGTTACAAAAAACAGTCTCCGCCATAAATACTGGCAGGCTGACCGGGACGTCTATGAACAATAAAACATGCTGCCAAATGGGGCCTTAATGTTAGTCTGTGGGGATACTTGTCACCTGGGATGTGACCTTCTCTAATGCATTTTCACTTGTTTGCACTTTTAGGGATATGAGATTGCTTGTCACTTTTAGATGTTTTAATCCCTTCTTCTCCTTATTCCTCTCTGAATTATAGCTAAAAAACTGTAGTTATCTAGATGTTGGCAGTTGGCAAGCAGATCCATGAGAAAGTAATATTAACTCTATCTTGTAGCTTCTTGGCTTTTGTGTACTCAAGTCTTTGAAGGACTAATGCTTGAAATGATGTATTACCTTCTATAAGTTCCTGATTCTGTGTTCTGTTGGGAAATGAGCCTTGTGGTATTTGATGAAATTTTTCATTATCTCGATGTTCTCTCCTATTGCACCTTCAATCTCATTCATGTGGTTAATTTAAAAAAAGAAATGTCATTCATGTGGTTTCAAAGGTGTTGTTGGATTTGGGGCTTGTAATCTTTGATAGTGTCTCCTTGAAGGCATCCCATGAAGAAACATATCAATCCATGGATGCGTCTCTTTGAAAGTGATCCAGCATTTCTCTCTTCTGTTTTTCACATGCTTCTCAACTTATTTCATACATGCTTCTCAATAATTTTTTTCTGCTTTGTGGTGCATGCCAATGTTCATTTCTAAATGCCCTTTTATCTTTAAGCAGACACTTGAAAATGGAGATATTGCTTTGCTTGACATGGGAGCTGAATACCATTACTATGGTTCTGACATAACATGTTCGTTCCCTGTAAGTATACAACTTACTTCCTTATCTGAACTTCCTTGACTTGTTTTCCTCCTCTTTCATTTGTTTGTGCCCTGAGAGTTGGCTCGCACTGAAGCCATTTAATATCATCAACAACATCAGAGCCTTTTCCCAAACTATTTGGGGTCAGCAATGAAGCCATTTAATGTGATTTGCATATATAGCAATTGACACAAGAACAGAATGGTGACTAAAAATTTGGTGACTCGGGCTTGGTGATTAAAAAAGTCGGTGACTCAAGCTTGGACTTGCTGAGTCACTTGTACCTGGCAGGGTGTTGTCTGCAGAAGAATAATCCTAAGACCTGGGGCGAATTTGACTGATTCACAGATTTACTTATTGTCTTTAATGGATACTTGGCTGAGTCAGACTTCTGACTCAGCCTCTAACTTGGGCTCGTGATGCTGGCGAATCTGAGCGTATTTTTTATCAGTAGAATAAAATATTTTACTCTATATATGTTGGGAAAGTACTTTTTTAGACTTATCTTTTTTTTAAGTCAATTTTGTCACTGCTATTTTATGCATTTGTTGTTCCACATATGTTTTATTCTTGATGCAATAACATATGCATTTTCCGAGTAATATATATGAAAATCTTAAACTGTTGGCACAGTTAAATAAATTCCTTTGTTGTTATTACTTATCTGGAATGTTATTTTCTTTTTCTTATCTGTTAAGGAATGTCGAATTTCATGCAAAGTTTTGTGTCATTATTGTGTTTGCTGGTAAAATGGGATGACTTATTTTGTCACCGTGTTACTGCAAAGTCGAACTTTCATATCAGTTATCACATAGTTTAAACCATTTTCCATTGCTTAGTTAACAAGAACCTTGTACTTATATTATTGCAAATCTACTGCTCCTTTTGCGATCATAATTTATTTCATACTCCCGTTTTTCAGCTCAAGTTTGTCAATTATCTATAGCTATTTGTGCTGCCACAAATAGCTCAGAATGGTGGGTGTGTATAACCTATTTGATCTGGCACTATCCACGTGACCATACATGGCCCCATGGTTGACGAGAAAGCAAATTGCTATAACAATTGAGGTTCTTAAAGAAAAAACCTTATTGATGTAGGTTCAAGTTATTTGTCTTATGGTTTTGGGATGTTCACATAGGGTTTTAATCATAGTTACTAGTATCATGTGGATAAGGCCACAATCCAGCTCTTGGATCACAACCCCACGATCCCTACTAGAGCTCTTGTGGGATCATTGTTTTTAAAATAGGGATCTTACACCGAGGCTTTTGTGATCTTGCTTGTTGTCTCTAAGGATTGCGCTTTCTATACTTCAGGAAGGTCCATATTGAAACACGAGGTCGAGAAAATGCTAGGCGACGCTTAGGCGGAAGGCGCTAGACAAGTGCCTAAGTCTCGAGGCGCCCCAAATATAATATGCATATATGTGCAGCCCCAATGCGCGCACGCACACACACACACACACACACACATATATAGGGAGTGATTTCATGCAACAGTTTATTAGTATAATGAAATAATCTATAAAAACCATGTTAGGCCTATTTGATTAATCTCAAATTTTTAAATACATTCTTCTCATTCTAATGAACAATCACAAAGTAAAATTTGAAAACACACCCTAGAAAGTATTTTTTAAGCCAATTAATATGGGCCATCTCTTTTAATGAGATGATTAGATCTAGGCCTTAGAATAATTTTTTTTTTCCTTTCTAATCTTTTAGATAGCTTTATTATCATTAGATTAATAATGTTAAAAATAAAAAATTGATTTTGAACTTATACAGGCTTAGATTTTGAAATTCACCAAATGGATGGTCTAGATTCATTATTGGAGGGGATTCATTTTGACCATATCGAGGTTGAAAATTAATTTTTTTTTTTTTGTAATTGATTATTGGGATGAAGAGATTGTCTTTGCAAAATTTGAAGTCATACAAATGCCACAGGCATGATTGTTCTAGAAGTGTGGTTTCATTATATTATAATGGCATTGTGACATGAAATTATTCCCCTATGTAGATATATCATTTTGTGTATTTAATTTCTGAATTTATATGTGCTGTAACCAAGTATATATATATGTCTGTATGTTGAAAAACACATTGAAAATAATTGAATCACATTTCAAAATTGTAATAAATCGAAAGATATAACAAAGGATAACTATGACTCTGTAGAACACTCAAGTATCCATAAAGACCAAATACTGAATAACTTAAGTACAAAATGACAATCACAATTCCATACTCCATTGTTCATATACTCCAATCTCCATTGTCCATATACTTTCCAAACTTGCAAAATCCAAACTTCAAAACCACAATGTAGTTAGAATTGCAAAGTCATAAAAGGGAAATGATACAAGAGATGCCAGGTCTTCGATATTCAAAGTTTTGGCTGACTATGAATAAACTTCTAAATCACCTTCAAAAGTCACTCTATAACTTTTCTTTGTGGTTCATAATAATCCAACAAAAAAATAATAATCCCATAAAAAGGGGGAATTTATCAAAATACCCAGGGGAGATGCACTATTTACCGTTCAACTATTCCAACCTATGATCATGTGTCTTTTGATGGGTATTTTGATATTGAATCAAACTATATGGGTAAAATGTTAAATAGTTCATCTATGATAGCTATTTTGATAAATTTCCCAAAAAATAAAGTAAATTTAAGATGATATCTCAAACCTGTATAATCTTTGATCTTACTAAAAATTGAAAAAAAAAAATCTATTTTTTTGGAGGTTTTTTGAGAACACGAGCTCCTAACAAGGACATGCCATCCATAAAGCAACACCTAAGCCTACACATGGGTTTGGGCTTCCTAGAAGGGGCGAGGCAGCCGCCTTGGTGGAACAAGGACCATTTTTGGTTTCATTATTGAAACAAAATGAGATCATTGATTGTCATGATCCAAAGGTCACGATGAATTGGAACAGAATTCAAATCATTTGGGTTTTAACTTGATCTTGAAAAAAAGCAAGGTCCATGAGTGGAAAATCTAAAAAAAAAAAACAGACGATGAAAAATAGTAAAAGAGAGTAGACTTTTACACGATATGAATGTTTTATAATTTACCATGATTTTCAATTTTCAATCTCCAAAAGAAGAGGAAATATATACCAGCTATAGCTTTTGGCACGAGAGAGAGAATTTTTGATCTCCAAAAGAAGAGGAGATATATTCCAGCTATAGCTTTTGGCACGAGCGAGAGAGAGAGAGAGAGAGAGAGAGAGAGAGAGAGAGAGAGAGAGAGAGTACTACGTAC